TTCTCATTTGGCATATACTCCTGTCTTTTTGTTGTTACCCATCAGTCAGTCTTTTTTTTTTTTTTTCCATTTTTTTAAAATGTTTATTTTTGAGAAAGAGCATGAGCAAAGGGGGGGCATTTTAAGTTTATTTATTTTGGGGCACCTGGGTGGCTCCGTTGGTTAAGCGTCCGACTTCAGCTTAGGTCATGATCTCGTGGTTTCAGGGATTCAAGCTTCACATAGGGCTCTGTGCAGACAGCTGGAGCCTGGAGCCTGCTTCAGATCCTCTGTCTCCCTCTCTCTCTCTCTGCCCTTCCCCTGCTCGCGCTCTCTCTCTCTCTCTCTCTCTCTCTCTCTCAAAAAATAAACATTAAAAAAATTAAAGTTTACTTATTTTGAGAAATAGCACGCACATGCACGAGCAGGAGAGGGGCAGAGAGAGGTAGAGCTAGAATCCCAAGCAGGCTCCTAGCCATCAGTGCAGAGGCAGACGCAGGGCTGAAACTCAGGAACAATGAGATCATGACCTGAGTTGAGATCAAAAGTCAGATGCTTAACCACATGAGCCACCCACGTGCCCTAGCTTATACCTTATTCTTAAGTACTTTGTTCACTTTGTTCATGGGGTGTTTTTTACATGATTTTTTTTTTTTTTTTTTTTTTTTTTTTTTTTTTTGCTACAAAATTAAGGGAACACATTGGTCAGTTTTGAAATACTTTTCAGTTTCCCTAGTGAAGGTTATGGGCATAATGGAAAAGTTGTAGCATAGTGACTTAACCCTCTGGAAGAGTGCCAAGTTACTGATTTGTGCATTTGCATCTACTTAAAAACTTTATTGACAATGCATTGTTTTGCATTGTTTTTCATGATTTTGTGGATAAACCAGAATCTTTCATATGTAGAGTGTTAACCAAAAAAGGAGAAGGGTGGAATACCAGGGTTATATTTGAAACCTGACATGTTTTGCAAGTTAGCCTGAGTGCATTCTGGAGTTGTTTATAGTAGGCAAAAGCTTAGGAATGGCTAAAATTCTCAAAGGAGTGGGGGCATCTAAATAAGATACATCAGCTCAAATAAATGATGTGTATCTTTATGCACCAGAATGGAATGATGTCTGTTACAAGTGGAAGTCAGAAAAATACTGGATGTGTGGATAGTGTATTTATGCTTTATGTTCATAGAAAGTTTCTGGTAAGAAGCTTGGTGATAACCTCTGAGGTATGAATCAAGAGATCTACTGTGTACTTCATGTCTTTCTGCACTGTTTGAGCTTTTTACTGTAAGCATCTACTCTCTTAAATTGATACCTTTAAAAAAAAGTTTATTTATTTTGAGAGAAAGCATGTGCAGGAGGGGCAGAGGGAAGGTGGGGGGGAGAATCCTAAGCAGGCCCCACACGGTCAGTCTGAAACCCCAGTGCGGGACTTAAACTCCCAAACTGTGAGGTCATGACTTGAGCCAAAATCAAGAGTTGGATACTTTAACCCATTGAATCACCCAGGTGCCCCTTAAATTGATACCTTTTAAGGAGTGGACTCTAGAGGAGACCTGGCTTTGTAAAATAAAATAATCTCTTAGTTTGACATTGAATTCTGTTAAATCATGTCTGGAACACAGTTCTGGGCACAACATTTTTAGGAGAACACTGACCATCTAAAAAGCACCAGTTTAGGAAGGTGTGAGGATTGGAAAGACCATGCCACATAAGTAGTGGTTAAAGGAATTGAGAATTTCTAACCATTGAAGGGAAAACTTTGAGAATTCCCAATATATAAAGGGCTATCATTCAGTTAAGGACTTCCCTATCTCCCTCACTCTTTGATAAACCTACATAAAAGCAGGAACTGTGTCTTTTTCACTGGAATCCTCAGTTCCTTATGCTTGGCACAAGTTCAGTGAATATTTGCATATATGAAAATCTGATCATTCCTGTGTAATTCTGACCTGGTCAAAGACCTCACTCTAGTGGTTGCCCATCTCTCCATGCTCAAATGTTCCCTCTTTGCATCATTTCTCTCTGCACACAAATAATGCTGTTACTTTCTCCCATTAAAAAAGAATTCTTGGCCACAATCCAGTATGCTGTTTGTCTTACTGCTTTGCCTTTCATTGGAATATAACCCCCAAAGATCTATTCTGTCTCCAATTCCTCCTTTCTTCAGCTCACTCGAATCTAGCTTTTCCAGCACTCTACTTTCAGCACCACCACTACCACCATTTTCAAGGTCACCTCCTTACTAAATCAGTCAGTTCTAAGATTTCATCTTTCTTTTTCTATCAGCCGCATTTGATAGATTTCATCTGTCCCTCCTCCGTGATAAATATTCCTCACATGGCTTCCAAGGATGCTACAGTCAGTTTTCCTTCTACCTCAATGGTTGCTACTCAATCTTCTTTTCTGATTCCTGCTGTTCTCTCAGATCTTTTAATGTTCCCTGCCCCAGGGCTCAATTCTTGGACTTCTCTATCTTCACTCATTCCTCAGTGACTGTTTCCCATCTCCACCCCCACCCTCGCCGCCACCAAATCTCTGCCATCTCTTGGTAGTTGGCAGTTTTATGGCTCTGGTCCCTCAGACCAAAATCATGGAGTTATCCTGAACTCTTCAAAACCCACATTCACACCAGGAAGATATTTATTCATTCTACCATCCAAAATATATCCAGAAACTGACACCCTCACAACAGCTACTACCTCTACCCTGGTCTGAGCCACTCACCTCTCACCTGGGTGCTCTAACTGGTCCTCTTTTCTTCTTCTCTAGTCCCATACAGCAACCCAGGATCCAGAATGATCCTTGTAAAACATGAGTCATTCCTTTGCTCAAACTCTCTTTCACTCAGAATAAGAGCCCAAATCCTCACAATAGTCCACGAGTCCTCATGGAATCTGCACATGTCCCTCATCTCTGACTTCCTAACTACCATCCTCTGTACCACCGGCCTTGCTTTTCCTGGAGCAGATCAGGCCCTCTCCTGCCTTTAATACCAGAATATTTGCTTTATATTCCTAATACTTGAAAAACTTCTAGATAACCACGTGGTTCACTCTATCACCTTCCAATCTCTGCTCAAAAATCACAGTGCATCAACCCAACATCCTATTTTAATGGAGGGCAATGATTCTCACTCCACAGCCCCTGCCCTCCTGCCCATTCCCACATGACTCAATTTTTTTCTTTCATAAGCTATTAACACCTCCCAACAAATCTAATATTTATTTGTGTTTGTTTGATTTTTGATAACTTCCACTCCCATTCCCTAGAAATGTACACACTGTGAAGGCAGAAATCTTGTTCACTGATAGATATCCCAAGGGACCAGGAAGTGGCACTTGGTAGGCTTTCAAGCCAATACTATTTTGAATGTACAGCTTCTTATTGATTATCACAATTTGCAAAGCCCTGCATGTCCTGACATATTCTGGCCTACTCCAGCCTTTTCTATCTCCCACACCTGACAGCACTACAGACTAGTGCTATCCCTAGAAATATAATGTGAGCCAATATGTAATTTTAAATCTAGGAGCCACATTTTTTAAAAGCCAATTAATTATAATAATATATTTACTTACTCTATCCAAAATATGTCAACATGTAATCAGTAGTGAAAAGTCAAAAAATTTTACACATCTTTTGCAAATACTAAATCTTTGGAATCAGATGTGTATTTTACACTTACCAGCACATCTCAAATCAGATGCTAAACTTTCATTAGAAGTAATTTGATCTGTTATTAAATTTTATAAATTTTACTATGGAAAAGTAGATCCACATACTCATTGCAAGTATATTGAAACATCAGTTTTTAACTGAGGGTTGATGGGGGGTGGGAGGGAGGGGAGGGTGGATGATGGGTATTGAGGAGGGCACCTTTGGGGATGAGCACTGGGTGTTGTATGGAAACCAATTTGACAATAAATTTCATATACTGAAAAAAAAATAAAAGTAAAAAAAAAAAGAAACCTATCAGTTTTTAAATTTAAGTTATGTGCTAAAATTACAAATTGTTTCTCAGTCAAGTAAGTTTATTTCAAGTGTTCGACAGCCACATGTGTCTAATGGCCGCCATATCAGAGCAGCTCTTAGACTTCTGGTCCAAGCAGGATGGACCCCCTCTTACTTCTGCCCTTTGTTATCTCTCCACCTGACTGCTCCACCACCACCCTCTTTCATTTGCCTCACTTGGCTGGCTGTCCTTCCTTTTGTGTTCCCCAAACACCCTGTTCACACTGTATTAAATTGCCTGATTGTCCAGTTAGCATAGTGACTGACACATAAGCATTACTATATATATTTGTGAAATGTATAAACCCATTATGCTTCTGCCTATTGAAATTTTAGTGATGCTTCCATTTCCATTTCAAATCACTTCTCCCTAGGACTAGAGTCTGGCTCCTTGTAACAGTTCAATTCAGGATAAAGATCATAGTGTCCTGGCATGGCAGAAACCAAAAGTCCATGTTTTTCAAGAAGGGAAAGACTATATTTACAGATAGTATGTTGGTGCCTTAATTAACGTTACTAGAGCCCTTTACCCATTCTATTTTGCCCATTTATATCCCCTTGTTATCTCAGCAGAGGTGGGGGTGAATCAAGGTTTAATACAGTTAAAAAATACTTACGATGGAGGGAATTAGGAATTCTGGGTACTGAATTCTGAGTTGACAAAAAATACATATATATAATTTATTCTGTTGCCTTGACAATTATTTTTACACATTTCTCTTGTTCATCTTGTCATGTAATCTGTCTTCCCAAGGAGACTGTAGGTTTCTATAAATTATGGATTGATTTAGGTGCCATTCCCAAGGTGCCCATGTCTTATTACGTTTAATGAGCAACTAATAAAAAGTTGTTGGTTTTGCCTCAATCAGTAGTTTAAACTGAACACTCAAAAACTGAACAGCTTGTGATATCAATAGGATCCTGAAAAAATGATTTTTGAAAAAGTACAGACACTGAAATATTTTAAGTGTTTCAGAACCGAAAAAAGAGATGTGTGCTTGATTCCATAAGTATTTTGTAGCAAAGCACATTTTTTTCAGAATAAAAACAAATGCATTTGATGATTTCATTTAGGGAAAATTAACAGGAAATTGTCAGTGTTTTCAAACGATGCCCTCAGCTTTACAGATGATTCAGGTTTAAAAAGTCTACACATCGGAATGTGATGATGCATTTGTTAACTGCTCTTTTTGACCTCACTTTAGCAAAATTCCTTCCCTGTAAGAATCAAGATTACAAGGTTAAAGCAGTAAGTAATAGCAAAGTCAATTCCAAATGTATAAGAGAATACAAAGAATAGTAATGAAACTTTATCTATTACCTGGCCTCAAGAATTATCATCTCATAGCCTATATGTTTCTTCTATACTATACTCATCACATGTTATTTTGAAGCATTTTACATACATTATATAATTTCAACCATGAGTATTTCAATGTTACATCTAAAAGATCACTATTTTTAAGATAGGCACAATGCCATTGGCACACATTTGAAAATAAATTAAAATTCCTTAGTGACATCAAATATGCAATGAATATTCAAAACTTCACATATCTCCTGAATGCCATTTTTTTTTTTTACATATTCTTTATTTGAATCAGGATCCAGTTAAGTTCCACACATAGCAATTGGTTTATATGTATTTTATGTTTCTTTTAACCTCTGAGTTCACTCTCCCATTCTTGCTGGCTCTTTTGCTTTCCCTTTCCCTCCCCATCTTTCATGTGTTCTCTCCTGCTCTCTCTCCTTACAGTTTACTTGGTGAGGAAAGCCAGTTGTTTGTCCTGGAGAGTTTCATATAATCCAGATTCTATTAACTGCATCTCCATAGTGTAGTTTAACATAATCCTTGGTCTTCTGATTTCCTCTAAGTTGATTAGTTGAATCTAGATAGATTTTTTTCTCAAGGCTACTTCAGAGGAGGTGGTATGTTCTTTCATCAGGAGGCACATAATGTCTCATCTCTCTTGGATGTTAGTAGCCATCAGCTTTTAATGCCTCTACCCATTAATTTATTTAAAAACATTTTTTAGAGTGTGTGAGGAGGGAAGAGGTACAGAAGGAGGGAAGGAGAGAGAGAAGACAGATAGGAAGAGAAAGAGAATCTTAAGCAGGCTCCACTGCTTAGTGCAGAGCCGGACATGGGGCTCAATCCCATGACCTTGAGATCATGACCTGAGCTGAAATCAAGAGTCCAGTTGGACAGCTCAACCAACTGAGCCACCCAGATGACCCATCTATCCATTAATTTAAATTGGGTTGCAAAAAAATGATATTCTGATTCAAAGTTACCTCCATTTAAACACATGAAATGTAAGGTGACAGCCTCCCTGTTTAAGATTAAAAATATCTTAATATATATACAGAAAGAGCATTTCATAAAATTTAAGTCATTCATGGCAAAAAAGCTTAGTAAACAAGAAACAGAAATTCCTTAGAATTTAAGAATGGATCAGATATATACTATGAAATACATATTGGATAAATGATTAGAAACAAAGCCATAGGAGGAGAAAATACACGAAGTCAGTGAGACCCTATCTTAAAATGCCAGGCAGATTTTTAAAAGAACTAAATAGTACTAAAGAAAATTTAAAATATAAAATTTTAATAAATAAAACTAAAATAAAATTCAATAAAACTGAATTAAAATCAAAATGAAATTACTCAAATAAAATTAAAAATTCAAGAGTAACTCAGAATATTGGACAGAGTTGGAGAGAAAATTGGTTAGATGGATTATGAACTAAAGAAAATAAACTCAGAATGTACAAAGAAATAGGGGCGCCTGGTTGGCTCAGTTGGTATAGCATGTGACTCCTGATCTCGGGGTTATGAGTTGAATTCTAGCCTCGCATTGGGTGTAGAGCTTACACAGAAAAGAATATAACAGAAATAAAGAGATGGAAAATATGACAGCTTGAAATGTAAAGCATGGCAGAAGTTCCAATGTAAATCTTACTGAAGAGAATACATGTTCCAGAAAGAGGAAATAAAGATGGGTAGCATTCCTCAGACTCTCAGCATGACAGCCTGAGGAACTCCGTAGACTCAGTCACCAGCAAACCCAGTGAAAACAATTTTAAAACAACCAGCTAAAATTGCTCAGTATGGTTAAGTACACACATCTGAATAAACACACATTCAAGAGAATTTATTAAAATGTGTGAAGAACCATGACAGTCTGTGGTATTTGAACTGAGAAATCTGCTTCCCCTTCCTCCTAATTCAGCAAGATGGAAACTTCACTCTAGGCTGGCTCAGGCAAGAGCACAGTTTCATCTCCCCTAGTTCCCAGTTAGAAAGCTATCATCCCAGGAGGGGCAGGAAGTCAGTATTTCTCATCTTTCCCCCACCGATCTGCTACTGAGGCTAAGTTATAGGCAAGCATAGAGGTGGAGTTTTTCTTCTACCCAGTCCCTAAGGAGCTCTACCCTGGGTGTGGTGTTGCTGAGAATATTGGGACCCCAATCATCTTTCCACCAGTCTGTTGACTACATGCTGGGAGAATCAAGCAAAAAAACCCAAAACAAAACAAAAACAAAAAGCAGAAGATACTGCCCACCCCACCCCTAACCACCACCACTGAGCACTCAGCTCCTAAACTGGGAATGTCATTGAGAGAGAAGCTTGCCATTGTCCTCGCTTCCAGGTCCATAGCCATAACTCCAAGACTTTTCCTGGAGGGAGAGTAGGCAATAAAGCTTTTCCTAAAGGAAATGACTTTATTTGCAAGAGAGTGTGGAGAAGTTTAAGCCTAAAGGTGCCCCCTAAAACTAGTCTCACTACTAGTGGAAGAAGTACTGAAGGGCAATTGGGATGCTATTGGTAGAATCATTGGACATATAAGTTAAATTGTGAGCCAGCTAGTGTGCAGGAGAGAACCTGGAAGAACATAGCTACAGGAAACTGTCTAGGGTCAGAACAAATATTAATAACTGCCTTCCAGAACTATCCCTTCAAAGGAGTCTGAATTTCTTTGGTTTAGTTGATGAGCAATTTATGCCCCAGGGTACTGATTGAAAGCCATAAAGAAATCACCCAGCAATTAGAGTTTAACAACTGGGTATGATCAGGAAAAGAGACAACCAAAGAGAACCTTGAAAAAAACCATCATTAACCCAGGGTGACTGTGCATATAACCCAAGGATATGCTCCCTGAAGAACAATATCAGAAGCTTATCAGTGCAAGGGAGAAACAGACTCTATTAAAATAATGTTACTAAACAAATAAACAAGCAAACAACAAGAGGGGAGGCACCAGTACCCAGAGTTGCCAAAATATATTATCTAAAATGTCCAGATTCCAACAAAAATGATTAGTCATGCAAGGAAACAGGAAAGTATGACCCGCACCCTGGGGGGAAAAAAAAGGCAGACAACAGAAAGTGCCTAACTGCCTACAGAGTAACCAGATGTCAAATTTGACAAAGTCTTCAGAGTAGTCATTATAAACATGTTCAAAGAACTAAAGGGAGTCATGACTAAAGAGTTAAAAAGGAATGATGAACATGTTCAGCAAATACAGAATATCAATAAAGAGATAGGAATTATAAAAAAGAATCAAATGGAAATTCTAGACTGGAAAAGTACAATGACTAAAGTGAAAACTTCATTGAAGAGGCTCAACAGTAGATGTGATTAAGAAATAATTAGTAGTGGGGCCCTGGGCGGCTTAGTCAGTTGAGTGTCCAACTCTTGACTCTGCTCAGGTCATGACCTCATGGTTCCTGAGCTGAAGCCTCTGCACCAGGCTCTGAGCTGACAGCACCGAGCCTGCTTGGAAATCTCACTCCCTCTCTCTCTCTACCCCTAACCCATTCATGCTCTCGCAAAATAAATAAAATTTTAAAAAGAGAAATAATTAGCAAATGTGAATAAAGATAATAGAGATTATGCAACCTGAAGAGCAGAGAGAGAAACGAATGAAGAAAAATGAACAGAGCTTCAGAGAAATATGGACACTATTAAGCGCAGCAATATTTGAAGAAATAATGGATGAACAACATCTCAAATTTACTGAAAAACAATAATCTACACATATAGGTAGCTCAACAAACTCCAGGTAGGAAAACACAAAGTTCCACAAATAAAAACATAGTAAAAATTCTGAAAGAACCATGGGTGCCTGGATGGCTCAGTGGGTTAAGCATTGATTCTTGATTTTGGCTCAGGTCATGATCTCATGGTTTGTGAGTCTGAGCCCTGCATTGAGCTCTGCATTGATAGTGAGGAAACTGTCACCCTCTCTCTCACCATCTCTCTCCCTCTCTCTCTGCCCCTCCCCTGCTCGTACGTGCTCTCTCTCTCTCTCTCTCTCTCTCTCTCAAAATAAATAAACTTAAAAAAAATTCTGGAAGAACAAAACACAGGGAGAAAATTGACAGGAGTAAGAAAATGACTCATTTTCAAGGGAACCTCAAAATTATTAAAATATGACATCTGCAGCAGAAACAATGGAGACCAGGAAACGATGGGATAATATATTTGAAGTGCTCAAAGTAAGAAACTGTTAACCAAGAATCGTATATTCAGCAAATCTATCTTTAAAAAACAAAAGTAAATGAAAGATATTCCCAGATGAACAAGAGAATCTGTTGTTAGCAGACCCTCCTTATAAGAAATTCTAAAGGAAGTTAGTCAGACTGAAAGTAAGTGACCCCCAATGGTAATTAAATTCTTATTAAAAAACAAAGAGCACTGGTAATGATAATTATATCATAAAAAAGACAACATAAATCCATTTTTCTCCTTTCTTCTCCTACCCAATTTAAAAAGCAACTGTATAAATCAATATGTATGTAATGTATTCTTGGACCTATGATACATACAAATGTAATACGTTTGCTAATAACAGCACAAAAGGTATGGGGGGGGGGTTATATTGGGCTAAGGAAATAACGCCAAATGGTGACTTGATTCTGCAAGAATAAATAAAGAGAATCAGAAATTATAAATAAGAAGGTTAATATAAGAAAAGCTATAAATATGTACTTGCTCTCCTTTCTTGTCTAAAAGACATAGTATTATATAATTATAATCATGCATTGGGTTTGTAACGTACAGATATAATATGTATACCAATAATAACAGAAAACAGAGGAAAGGGAATGGAGCTATTTACCAGTAATGTTTCTAAATCTCACTGGAATTAAATTAATATTAATATAAATATAAATATAAATATAAAGCTGATTCTGATAAGATGTATATCG